AGTGTGACATTCAAACCACTTCTTCTTCTTCTGCAATCCCTCATAGCTGAGCAAGATTGTCTTCCATAAACACAGTCTGTAAGTGACTGTGGAGGCCAATTCTGCATTCAGATGTCCTTCCACAGTGGGGACATTGGTTTCCGGGTGGGAGTTGATTACGGTGTGGATTTGCCAAGCGTGCCTTCCTCTTAGCACGTTTCTCCCTTGCGTCCTGAGTTCAAGTGTCTTCAAAGCCCATGACAACTTTGGGAAAGGCTGTTCTCCAACTGGAGTGTTCGCAGACCAATGTTTTCCAGTTGTTGGTGTTTATACTACCTTTTTAAAGATTTGCCTTGAGAGAGTCTTTAAACCTCTTTTGTTGACCACCAGCATTACGCTTTCCATTTTTAAGTCTGGAATAGAGTAGTTGCTTTGGAAGACGATCATCAGGCATCCACACAACATGACCAGTCCAACGAAGTTGATGTTGAAGAATCATTGCTTCAACATGGGTGATCTTTGCTTCTTCCAGGACACTGATATTAATTTGCCTGTCTTCCCAAGTGATGTGTAAAATTTTCTGGAGACACCATTGATGGAATCTTTCGAGGAGTTGGAGATGGCCTTTATAAGTGGTTCATGTTTCACAAGCATATTGCACTCTAACCACTACCCCACCACTGGCTTCTCTTCTCTTCTCTTCTCTTCTCTTCTCTTCTCTTCTCTTCTCTTCTCTTCTCTTCTCTTCTATGAAACCATAGGGAGCAGTCATCCAGATAATTGGAGCATGATGTCACCAAGATGTCAATGCCATCCAGCTCTCTCACTGCATTCCATCAGGAAAGGGTGTGAAGGTCTTGCAGCAGTGCCTGGAAGCAGTGATGGGCTGGATGGCAGCCAGTGAACTGAGGCTGGATCCTGATAAGACAGAGGTACTCTGAGCGGGTGGTTCCCATGTTTTGGGAAGGGTTGTGGTCCCTCTGAAGGAGCAGCTTTGAACCCTGGGAGTACTCCTGGATTCCACCTTGTCCCTAGAGTCTCAGGAGGCAACTGTGGTTAGGAGCACACATGCCAACTTAGTCTAGTTTGCAAGCTGCAGCCATTCCTTGATTGGTATAGCCTGGCGTCAGCTAGCCATGCTCTAAGTGACCTCCTGTTTGGACTACTGCAATGCTCTTTGCTCGGGGTTGCCCTTGAAGATGGTCTGGAGGCTCCAGCTAGCGGTAACTAGTGTATATGGGGTAGCCCATTGGAACCTTGTGGCACCAGTCCTCAGAGCACTGCAGTGGTTACCAGTGAGCCATTTTTGTTGTTGTTTAGTCGTGTCCGACTTTTCGTGTCCCCCTGGACCAGAGCACGCCAGGCACTCCTGTCTTCCACTGCCTCCCGCAGTTTGGTCAAACTCATGCTGGTAGCTTCGAGAACACTGTCCAACCATCTCGTCCTCTGCCGTCCCCTTCTCCTTGTGCCCTCCATCTTTCCCAACATCAGGGTCTTTTCCAGGGAGTCTTCTCTTCTCATGAGGTGGCCAAAGTCTTGGAGCCTCAGCTTCAGGATCTGTCCTTCCAGTGAGCACTCAGGGCTGACTTCCTTCAGAATGGATAGGTTTGATCTTCTTGCAGTCCATGGGACTCTCAAGAGTCTCCTCCAGCACCAGAATTCAAAAGCATCAATTCTTCGGCGATCAGCCTTCTTTATGGTCCAACTCTCACTTCCATACATCACTACTGGGAACCACCGACTGCCTGGTTCCCTGTAACCTCACACCTCACAGGGAGGGAACTGTCAGAAGGCCCTCGGAGCTGGACCTCAGTGTCCAGGCTGAACGACGGGGGTGGAGATGCTCCTTCAGGTTTACTGGGCTGAGGCCATTTAGGGCTTTAAAGGTCAGCACCAACACTTTGAATTTTGCTTGGAAACATACTGGGAGCCAATGTAGGTCTTTCAGGACCGGTGTTGTATGGTCTTGGCAGCCACTCCCAGTCACCAGTCTAGCTGCCGCATTCTGGATTAGTTGTAGTTTCCGGGTCACCTTCAAAGGTAGCCCCACGTAGAGCGCATTGCAGTAGTCCAAGTGGGTGATAACCAGAGCATGCACCACTCTGGTGAGACAGTATGCGGGCAGGGAGGGTCTCAGCCTGCATACCAGATGGAGCTGGTAAGTAGCTGCCCTGGACACAGAATTGACCTGTGCCTCCATGGACAGCTGTAAGTCCAAGATGACTCCCAGGCTGCACACCTGATCCTTCAAGGGCACATACTGGAAGCATCCCAGCCGATCCCAGGGATCAGAAAAACCAACAGGTGCGGTGAAAGCCAAGAGATCTTGACCGTTCTCCTGTTTATGGCGCCTGTCTTGTTTGCTTCTTCTGCTGTTGTTTTCTCTACAACTGGATCCCCTCTGTGGTTAGGCCAGCCTTGACAGGTAAATCACCACTTTAGCAGCCCTGTTTTGTCAAGGGCTCAGCGAAGCCCAGGTGAAATCCACCGAGTCATCAGGATGAAGCAACCTCAGCATGAAAACAATGAGCTGAACTCCCGTATCAGAGGAGTCCTTGTTTTGCAAAAGTTGTGGTTTCGCTTGATTGGAACAGCAGAACAATTAGGGTGGACACTGTCTGAGAATTACCTGGTGGAGGATTAAGGAGCAGTGCAAACACCACAGAGGGACTTGGCAGCTGCAGAAGAACAAGAAAACAGTTATTTTCCAATGCACAAGCTATTTATGGGGTTTTGGAAATATGGTACTGAGATTAGAACCCCACATTTGGCACTAACAGCCCCCTTAAGCCTCTCACTCACTCCTTGAGCAAACATGTAATTAAAGGGAGATATAGACGGCAGGGGAGGGCTGGATTTAAGCCCAATATACACTTGAGCCAACCTAGGTATTGCATCTGGATTTCAGATGCAGGAAATTAAAAACTCGGAGACGGTCCTTGATCTGAATCAAAGTCTGTAGGGACCAAGGAAAACAATAGGGTCCCAGCTTTCCCACCTAAAAATGGCAAACTGGATCTCAGCATTCATTTCATTTCACAAATATTCCAGTTCTGCCTCTTTGACTGTATTGGCACAGAGTTTGGCTCCTTTGTTATTCATTCATTCATTCATTTATTTGTTTGTTTGTTTGCATTTATATCCCCGTTTTCTCTCTCTCCAAGAAGTTCAAGGTGGCATGGATGGCTTTCCCCTTCCTTCCTCATTTCATCTCCACAACAACTCCGTGGGCTGAGAGGCAGCGAGTGGCTCAAGATCACTCAACTACCTTCATGTCTGAGCTGCGATTTGGACCTTGGTCTCCCTTGTCTTTTCCCACACTGGCTCATAAAAGAAAAGAAAGGTTGCATTTGAACGGATAGAAAACAACTGGCTCATTGTCATGATGACTAATCTACTACACGAGAATACATGCAAATCAACCCAACTTACATATTTATTTGAGATTTTGGGCCTAAAAAAGGGCTGCTGCCCTTATTTCAACTGATTTCAGGGTCGTTTACAAAAATGTAAACAATAAAAATATAATTTTTAACAAATCATAATGAAATTGAACTCAAAACTGGAATAGTAGGACACAGGCTGAGAAAAACTCAGCCTGGTATTTCACATATTCTCCCGATGCTAAAAATGTTTAAAATGCATTGGATATAGTTCCCAGCACCTTTTACCTATCAGAATGTTCTTCCTCACGTTTGGGACTAAACATTCAAGTTTCTTGTCACTTGAAGCCGTGGGTTCGAGTCCTCCCTTCCAGAGCAGGAGAAAACAAGGCTTGCTCCATCTTCTACGGCCCTTCAGATATTTGAAGGTGGCTATCGTATCCCCTTTCAGTCTCCTCTTCTGCTGGCTAAATATCTCCAACTCCTTCCAGTGGCAGAAGAAGGGGGCGCAGTGGGGGCGGTCCATCCCGGGTGTCATCAATGAGGGGCGTGACAAAATCCCCTCTGGGCGGATCACTGCACTGCCCCCCTGGGTGCCGATCACCGCACCAATCACCCCCTGAATGCCAATCACCCCCAATGGGCACCAATTGCTGTGCCAATCGCCCTGCTGGGCAGCTCCCCCTGCCCCCCTGGGCTGCTTGCCCCACCCCCTGGGTGCACGGCATGTGTGCCGCTCTGGGGCAGCATCCCCTGAGACACTTGTCCTGCCTCCGTGGGTGGCTAGCCCCGCCCCCACGGACAGCTAGCTCCGCCCCTGGGTGCACAGCATGTGTGCCACTCCAGGTGCTGGAGCAGCTAGCTCCACCTCTGACTCATTCAACCGTTCCTCATAAAGCTTGGTTTCCAGATTCTTGACCACCTTGCCTGTCCTCCTTGGCACACGTTCCAACTTGTCAATGTCCTCAAAATGTGGCACCCAGAACTGAACCCAGGGCTCCAGGTGGGTTCATCCCAAATCAGAACAGAGAGGCATCAATACTTCCCTTGATTCCCCTTACAGAAGTATTGGTACCTCTGAAGAATGATGAGTCTTCTCCCAAAACAGCAATAAAGTTAACACACAAGTCACGAATGATTTCAACACTCAATGTGTACATGATAGAAAGAAAGGTGCTATTGAGACAGTGTTTTTAATTAGGTATCCTTGCAGCATCAGTAACCTCTCATCCCTTGCCACTGCTATGCCCTTAAAAGTAAAAACCACCAAGGGAACAGGGTGGATCCCAAAATGAAGGCGTCATAAGCGATGGAATGCATGATGTGCCCATGCGCGAGAAGCATGCTACGGTGGCCTTTAATGGAGGCGCATGGCTGGTTCTGACTCTGCAGGGAGACAGGAGGCTGGAGCAAAGAATCCTTTTCATCTTGCTGCAATGGATGAAATCGCTGCATTTTTCACACCAAAAACACAACAACCCTGAAACACACAGACTTAACCTTTTGGTGGTGCCTAACTTTCATTGGGAGCAGTCAGGATGCGCTGGCAAACTCAAGCGAAACCACTAGGGGGCTCTCTGAGGACTCTGGTTTAAATAGTGAGCCACAGGTGCAGCCGACTTTAGTTTGGGTAGCTCCTCCATCCAGCAACCTGCTCTGAAATCTCTCGGATTACAAGCGCAGAAGAACAAGCAGAAGCTCGCTTTGCTCCTCCGTCAAGGTTGCTCAGAGAATCGGCTGGGCTCCGGCGCTGATCGATCCCCAAAGCTCCAAGACTTTGGAAACTTCCCAGGAGCTCCGGTGCAAAGGAGATGGCCAACAGTGGTCTACAGATGCTGGGCTTCATCCTGGCCTTCGTCGGCTGGGTGGGCTTGATCATCAGCACAGCCATGCCCCAGTGGAAAATTAACGCCTATGCTGGGGAGAACATTGTGACAGCCCAGGCCATCTACCAAGGTCTCTGGATGAACTGCGTCACGCAGAGCACAGGGCAGATGCAATGCAAAGCCTTCGACACCTTGCTCAGCCTCCCAAGTAAGTGGTTTGCGAGATTTCCTTTCGGTGCTGGTGGGTTTCTCTTCAATTCAGCACACCAGGGCTGTGGTGTCAATAAACTGCCTTTCTTGGGGATCCGCACTACAGGGATTCAGAATTCCAAGACAGAAGAGGCAGGTTAACTTTTACAAGTTGTCAAATTACACACCTCAGCAAGAAAAGCAGGCATCTCCGTGCCGCCCATGGCCTTAGAGACGGAAACTTTTGGTTTCACTGGGGAAAACTTTTTTTTTTAAAGTTTAATTCGAATTCGGGATTTTTACATACATCATATTATCTCCTTCCAATTCTAAATTTCCCGTACAATTTTTCCCTTTCCCTCCCTTCCCACCCCCCATATCCATTGGAAGGGTTCAAACTATTATCCTCAGCCACGGGCATAGTGTCTTTAGTTTCCACCGAATGTCTTTTGTTCCAGTAGTTTTTATCCGTTGAAGACAGGGGTTCCCTCTGTTCCTTATCGTGGTGGACTTGACCTTCCACGTTGTTTCCTGTGACATAACTGCGACAATGTCCGACTGAATAAGTTCAAGCAAATAACTATTCCATGCCTCTACTGTCCATTTTTCTCTATCTTTCCAACCTAAAGCTATCGTTACCTTGCCCGCTAATATCATAGCTTTGAAGATAAACTGGTCACCTTTCTCTATAGCCCTGTTTCCATTGTCATGAAATCAAAGTCTATTGAAAGCTTCCCTTTAAAAATTTCATTAATAACCTTTAGGGTTTTATTCCAGAATTCCTTTACCTCTGGGCATTCCCTGGGGAAAACTTCTTAACCAGACTCAGGGAAATAATTTTTTCAGGCTACAGACGCATTTCTCAGGTTCCAGAGCATCAACGAAGTCCTTTGCTCTTTTCTAATTCAAAGGCCACTTGGCTTTTCAATGCTTTCTCTTACTGCTCAAACATCTTAAATGTATACATCTGTATCTCCCTACATCCCAACTGCACTCCCTACCCCACAGACAGGACTGTCTTCTCGGCTACCATTGCCTTAGCACAACAGTATCAAGCTGGTTCGCAACAAAGAGCTCTGTGAGGTCGATCGTCACAATGCCCATTTTACAGATGAGAAACTGAGGCTGGCAGGTGGCAGTTTTCTCAAGGCTGCTCAGTAGAGGTGGAAGCCGTTCTGTTTGCCCTGTCCCTGTAAAAGACTCCTTTTACAGACTGTGAGAAAACAGTCGCTAAGGCACGCAGGAAATTGTTGGTAGGGATGCAAATTCCTCTTGTAGGTTTTGTTCAAGATACACTTGAAAATCCTTCTGGCTGCTTCTCACAAGGGTGGGGACAGTAATTATGTAGTATCTATTTTGGATCATTTTTTAATGGTAGCCAGCTTTGGAGTTTCACATAACTCATTCCTCTCTGATGAGATCTGTCTAGCTCCAAAACACGCTACTTTTTCATCTGAACTATTGGTTCCTATTGACTCACATCTGTGATTCTCCCTTCCCTGACCAGGGATGTGCTTTGAGGTTCCAGAGGGCAGTTGTTAAAAGCACAGGGGTTTTACGGAGCTAAAGCTGACATGTGTACATGTGAAAATTGGATTCTTCGCAGGCAGCGTTTTTCACAGTTCAATTTACTTATTTGTGTTTGACAGAAGTTTAGCATTTGACAATGTTTGAGACCTATTTCAGAAGATTTGAGAGGTGACATGCAATGGTATTTTGTATTTGGCAGTATGTAACAGATGATAGGTCATGAGAGTTCACCAGGGACGTTTGTCGGAATCAGACCCTCAAGAAACACTGTACAAAGCTGTTTTGCCCAACAACAGCCCTGAAACAGCAAGTCTGAACTGCCCACATTTTAAGGGCAATTGCATAATCAATCTTCTAGATGTCCTTCGGGATCTCTTCCAACTCTACAAGTTCCTTGAATCTATGATTTCAATTTGAATGTCAAATTTTCTGTTTATTGATTCTTAAAGTCATATCCTGCCTTCGCACGAAAATGTGCCTCTGGCAACGTGAGCAGCCAAACTGAAATGTTGAGGAACTTCAAATACATCTGAAGGTTTTGCTTCACCTCTAAAGAGGCAGATATAGGCGGAATCATGAGATATCACTGCTTCCCTGGGTCTCAGTATGGATGATTTTAGACACTGGAAGAGAAAGAAGTTGACATGTTGGCTTTTCCTTATACCTTTTGCTCACCCCAGAACAGGTGCTCCCTAAATCCGAGGTTGTATGGCCATTGGTCAGGGATTGTTAGCAGAGATTAATACATTGCAGGGGTTGGGGTTGGACTAGATGACACTAGGGGTTCCCTTTCAACTCGATGGTTCAGATGTAACAGAAGCTTGTTCCCAGTGAGCTTTGCTAAGAGTCCTGAAAGTTAGCCAAAAGGCTTGAGGGCTCACAGCTGAGATGCAGAAGCCACTTCTCAGCAGCGGCTACTGACTGCTGTATCACGACAAACTTGTCCGTATCATGTAACATAAGTCTTTATTCCTCTGGGTAGCTGGAAGGAAAGAAGGGGGGGGGGAGAATAATGACTGTAATTTGATTTAACTAAATACTGAGGCTGGCTTGGCAAGTGCTGTTTCTGGGGGATGGAGGGAGACGATTTAGCAACGGTGGACACAATTAGCAGAGTTTGGGGTTTAGGAATTTGGCGAGGGTTTCCTGTGAGTGTTTTCATGCTGTTCCTAGAAAGAACCTCTTGGCTGGCTTTCTCGTTGGCACCAGCAAGGCGACCAGGTCCCCATCCCGTGGCTGCTAGAGCTGGAATTAATTGGGGCACACAACTTAGGCGGTGCCCGCTCACCCTCCGCGGGGCGCAAGGGTCTCTGAGTTCACATCTGGCATTCAGGCAACAGCCTGCGGATAGATAGCGTGTGCGCAAGTGGAACAAGGTGTGCCCATAATCTCTCCAAACCAGAAGTCATGGCTTGGGCATCGCTCCTGTTGTGCGCATTTGGGTACGTGGGTGTTTGTGTGGGTGTTTTGGTGTGATTTTGCCAGCTCAGCTCTTCTTTCCAGGAGGGGGTGGAATAATCATGAGCTTGAGGGGGGTTAGTTGGGAAAACAGGCGATACCTCCCATCACACACACTGATTCTCGGTTGTGTGTTCAGATCCTGAGACCTCCCCCATAAATAAAAACACATTTGACTCAGATTTTGGTTTTTTGGCAGAATTTAGGCCACAACTTTATTGATTACAGAAAAGGGAGTGGTTGCATAGGCTCTGGTTCAACTAGCTCCCTATGCCCACGGTAGGTAGCGCTGACCCAGGGCGCACCATAGGTCAGCCAAGGGTAAACACCTGGGGAAGGTCAAGAGCCTGGGAGCAGACTCTGTCCACTTCCCAGATGTTCCCTGGGACTCAGGCACAGGCACAACCCCCTACTGGGGGTTGACCAAACCAATTAGAGTCTTTGGATTCCTTTAAAGTAGCGGTTCTCAACCTGTGGGTCCCCAGATGTTGTTGAACTACAACTCCCATCACCACTACCTAGCAAGGCCAGAGCTCAGGGATTATGGGAGTTGTAGTCCAACAACATCTGGGGACCCACAGGTTGAGAAAGGCTGATTTAAAGGAATACCCTTCACATTGGGATCAGCACAGCTCCGCCTCCCTAACCACCTTGAACCAGTTCCTATCTGCAACCTTACAAGTTGTGATGATTTGCTATGCGGTAGGCGAAACCCAAATGGCAATAGCCAATCAGCCATGTGGGGAATCTCCTACCGTGCCTCTGTCCCAATGACAGATGACACACGGCAGCATAGCAAGGCCAATCGCTGAAAAAACCCTAAATATAAGGAGAGGTGGGCGGGTGTTCCAATGCACGAGCGAAAAGAGGAAGCTCACCAGCCCGTGCATGGGCTTAAATAGATCCCTCGAAGTCCTTGTCTTCTTCCCATTGGCCAAATTGCACCCAGCAACGGGCATTGTGGCTCTCCAAATGACCCATCCACAACCTTAGAGCCCTAAACGGCCTCGGTCCAGTAGACCTGAAGGAGCGTCTCCACCCCCATCGTTCTGCCCAGACACTGAGATCCAGCTCCGAGGGCCTTCTGGCGGTTTGCTCACTGTGAGAAGCCAAGTTACAGGGAACCAGGCAGAGGGCCTTCTCGGTGGTGGTGCCTGCCCTGTGGAACGCCCTCCCACCAGATGTCGAAGAGAACAACAACTACCAGACATTTAGAAGATATCTGAAGGCAGCCCTGTTTAGGGAAGCTTTTGATGTTTGATAGGTCATTGTATTTTAAAATTCTGTTGGAAGCCGCCCAGAGTGGCTGGGGAAGCCCAGCCAGATGGGCAGGATATAAATAACAAATTATTATTATTATTATTATTATTATTATTATTATTATTATTATTGGTTCAGTCACATTGATCTCCCCATAACATGTGCCCTCTGTGAGGAGGACACAATATAGGAAAATTTTCAAAGCTCTGATTTGAAAATTTAGAGTTTGTGCTTGATCATTTGGAGTGGAGTCTCCTTCACTGGAGATTTTTTAAAAACACAGGTTGGATGGTCATCTGTCAGGGCTCCTTTAGCTGTGATTCCTGCATTGCAAGGGGCTGGACTGGATGACCCTTGGTGGCCCCTTTCAACATTACAATTATTTGAGTCTGTGGGTTTCTTCTAGCTCAACTTCAGCCATTCCAGTTAATACATTTTATGCGTTGCACAGAGAAAGAGAAAAGTTTTTCTCCCTCTCTCCTAACACTAGGACTCAGGGACTTCCAGCAAAGGGGGATGTTGGAAGATTGAGGGCAGACAAAAGAAAGTCCTCCTTCATGTAGCCCATAGTCCAACTGGAACTCACTGCAGGATCATGAACCTTGATGGCTTTAAAAGAGGATTGGACAAATTCATGGAGGAGGAGAAGGCTATTGACAGCTACTAGTTCCACTTTTGGAGGGCAGTAAGTGGATGCGGGTGGCGCTGTGGGTTAAACCACAGAGCCTAGGACTTGCTGATCAGAAGGTCGGCAGTTCGAATCCCCGTGAC